TATAAAATGAATCAAGTGCTCTCTTCCTGGCTCCCTTTTTGCCACATTTTGTAAAGTGACTATTCTTGCCAACCACCTTAGTGCTGCTCAGAGAACCAAAAGGGTGAAAGTGCAACTCTGGTGAGAATTTAGGCTTAAGGGGTGGGAGCGCACAAGGGATGCAGGTTGAATTAGAGTGGCCAGAAAGGATCTCACCAAGAAGGTGACATTTAAGTGAAAGATTTTAAGCCAAGGAGCAACATGATTTGGCTTATATTTTAACATTATCAGTCTGGTTATTGGGAATAGACTAAAAAAAGGCAAGAAAATAACAGGGAGACCAGAGAAATCCAAACGAGAGATGATAGAGGTGAACTAGTCTCCTAGTTCTGCAAACTTGGTGGCTTAGGATAACACATATTTATTCTCTTACAGTCCCAGAAGTCAGAAGTCTGAAATAGGTTTTACTGGGCCCAAATCAAGTTGTTGGCAAGGCCAGCAACTCCAGAGGATCTAGGGGAAAATTGGTTTCCTTGACTTTTTCAGCTTCTAGAGCTGCATTTGTCATATTCATTGGTTCATGGTCCCTTCCTCCAACTTCAAGTCCCACAGTGGAGCATCTTCAAATCTCTTTCTGCTCCATCTCCCGTTATCTTATCTCTTCTGAGTCCAGTCTCCCTCTGCCTCTTGTAAGGGTACTTGTTACTGCATTTAGGGCCTGCCCAGATAACCCAGGATAATCTCAAGATCCTTAGTTTAATCTCATCTGCAGAGTCTCTTTTGCCATATTCACAGGTTCCAGAGATTAGAACCTGGATATCTTTCAGGTTCATTATTCAGCCTAACAAAATAGCCTTGGACCAGTATAGAAGGGACTGACATGGTGAGAAATGAGCAGATTCTTGGATTTGCTTTGAAGGTAGAGTCCATTGGACTAACTTACAGACTGAATGTGGGATATAAGAGAAAGAGAAGAATCAGGGAAAATACCAAAGCTTTTTGTCTGAGCAATTATAAGAAGAGAATTTCTGCTGGGCATGGTGGCTCACACCTGTAATCCCAGCATTTTGGGAGGCCAAGGCAGGCGGATCACGAGCTCGGGAGTTCGAGACCAGCCTAACCAACATGGTGAAACCCTGTATCTACTAAAAATACAAAAATTAGCCAGGCATGGTGGTGCACGCCTGTAATCCCAGCTACTCAGGAGGCTGAGGCAGGAGAATTGCTTGAACCCGGGAGGCAGAGGTTGCAGTGAGCCAAGATCACACCACTGTACTCCAGCGAGACTCTGTCTCAAAAAAAAAAAAAAAAAAAAAAAAGAGGAAGAGAATTTCTCTTTATGGAAAAGATGACAGGAAAACCATTTCTTTGAGGGGAGTGGTTGGTTTAACTATTTGTTTATGTTAGCAGGGCCAGGGGCTCATGGACCTAATGAGTTTGAGATGGCCTATCCAAGTGGGCATATTGAGAAGACAGCTGACATGCGAGCCTCCAGTTCAGGAGAGAAGTTATTGCTGGAAACATTAATTTGGAAGCCTTTAGTGTGCTTTTAAAGCTTCAAAATTGAATGAAATCATGAAGGGTGTGAGTGTGAATAGAAAAAAAAACATCCAGGGACTGAGGCTTGGAGGAGTTCAGTGGCTCAAGGTCAGATAGAACAGGAGGAATTAGCACGGGGGCCCAAAAAGGAGTAGCCAGCAGCCAGAGAGGTAGAAGGACAACCAGGAGAGGGTAGTGTCCTGAGGCCTGGTGGAGGCAGGCAATGGGGACTTGAGGTGGGAAGGACAGCTAAGCTCCTAGAGGGAGATGGGCACTCGTTGGACTGAGGGCACATCTCACCAGCTCTAGCACCTAGTACCTTCCCTTCCCTAACACGCACACACACACACACACACATGCACACACACACATGCACACGCACACACACACACGCACACACACAAATACCCTCCACCATGAACAATGTTTCTAAGCAGTGCAGCTCATTGAGCAAGGCCTGCTTTGGGGGCAAGACACCCAGATTTTCTCCCATAATTCTCCAAACAGGTGCTACAAAAACAGTGTCTGGCCAAAGCAGCAGAGAGTATCTGCAGTCTCTGGCCTAAACCCCGGCCGTGATGCCCTAAAGCTGTAGATCTTGTCTCGTAGATCCTCTCTTCCTCAACCCATCTGTGATTCCCAGGGACAAGTCTGTCACTGTTTTTGGAAAAGGAAAACATCCTAAGCAGTAAGGCCTCCATCTGCTTGCCACCCACTGAACAGCCTGGCACAGTGATTCACTGGGCGCTCAGTTCATTAGGTACTGAGTGCAGAGCAGCAGCTGCACTGTTGTCACCCACAGGGCGATTCCCCCATGAGGACTGCTATTCTGAGCCATTATTTTCCTGGTTTAAACTAGAATGCTCACTTTATATAGACCCATTATTACAAACATCATATATGAAACATTCATCAAGTTTACAGAATCAGTTTGAAGGCAGATCCTACATTATGCAATCTATACTAGATTATCTTGAAACATCTACATAACCACGTAGCTTAGGAATCCCCATGGATACCAGCTTGGATAGATTCTCTCTTCTCTCCTGTCCTCCTCTCCTCTTCCCTCCTTTCTCTTCCCCACTCTCTTCTGCTCTTCTCCTCCCTTCTCTTTTCTGTCTCTTTCTCTGCCAATTTCCCCAGAACTTTAATTAAGTACTTAGACCACTGGTTCACCAGCTTTGTTGTATATTGATATCACCTGGGGAATTTAAAGAACTGCTGCTGCCTGAGTTCCAGCACCAGAGATTCTGGTTTAATTGATCTTGGATGTGAGCTAGGCTTTGGAAATGTTTAAAGCTCCTCAGGTGATTCTAATGTGCAGCCAAGTTTGAGAACCAGTGTCTAAGTAGCGAGTCCCAGTGCAATATCCTAAATGCCATGGCAGAAGGAGCTGACTCTAACTCCAACTCCCTGCCCTGCCTCTCCCTACCATTTCTGGTTTATAAGACAAGAGATTTGGTGTCAGTTTACCCGATCCGAACAACACGAATAGATGCAGTGTGTTGTGCAATTCTCTGTATCTTCCAGATTACATGATCCAATGGGGGCTCTGATATTCTACACCTAGCTTTTCAACTTCTCTCTACGACTTTCCTCCTAAGACACCTTTAGCTAACTTTTTATTTCAGCGACATCAGAGCTCCAGCTGCAAGTGTAGGTCCAGTTGTAAGCAGTAGGAGAAGCAGAGTAAAAGTGGACAGAAATAATCAGAATGTGCACACACACACACACACACACACAAAACCAGTAAATCAGGCTTAGAAATGGAATTCTGCTGGTGTAGAAATCCTCTGGAGAGAAGGGGCCACCGTGCCCCAGTATATCTGTTTTTGTGCCACTCGTTGAGATAATTATGGGAAAAAACTTGGGTCCCTTGCCCTCAAATCAGGTCTTGCTCAATGGACTGTGCTGCTTAGAAGCCACCTATCTCCTCCTCCCTTCCCCCGTCTGGGATCTGTAACTGGTAAGATCTAAACAGTAATATGCCCAGGGTAGATCCAAGAGTATTAAATGCCATAACTTTCAGGCTCTTTCAAAATAAAAGTTGGCACAAATTTCCAGGAAGCAACTTGGTGATATGTCTCAAGAGCTTGAATTATGTCCAGCTTATCTCCTTTTATCCAATTATATCATTTCTTTTCCTAAGGAAATAATCAGAGATGTGATAAAAGATTTATGTACAAAGATCTTCATTAAAGTGTTACGTATAATTGCAAAAAATCAGAAGTAACTGTACACATAGTGTAAAATATACAGATTATTAAAAGTTATGTTTTCAAATAATTTTTAACAATGTAAGAAAATTCTCAAAATATAATGCTAATGAAAAATGATAGGTGAAGCGGCTAATTTTATAGTTTAATCCAATTGTGGATATATACACCTATTTGCAGAGAGAAAAAAAAACTGCAGATATACACTCAACCATTCACAGTCACTACCTGGATTGTGTGATTGTGATTGATTTGTATTTTTTTTCCTAGATTCTCTAAGCTTGCATTGCATCTACAGTCAGAAAATAAAAATGTTATTTCTTTTAAATGAAAACAAGGTTTTGGCTAGGTGCAGTGGCTCACGCCTGTAATCTTAACACTTTGGGAGGCGGAGGTGGGAGGATCACTTGAGTCCAGGAGCTGAAGACTGGCCTGGGCATCATAGCAAGACCCCATCTCTTCAAAAAAATAATTTAAAAAAACTAGCCAGTCATGGTAGTATGTGCCTGTGGTCTCAGCTGTTTGGAGGCTGAGGTGGGAAGATTGCTTGAGCCCAGGAGGTTGAGGCTGCAGTGAGCCATGATCGTGCCACTGTACTCCAGCTTGGGTGACAGACTGAGAACATGCCTCAAAAAAAAAAAAGAAGTTTCATTTCTCACATGGCACCGCGCGTCTATCAAAAACTGATCTCTGAAGGGACCCTAATCATCATCATCATCTCCCTACCACAGCCTGGGTGCCCAGCGATGCATTCCAAAAACTTCTAGTTCTAGTTCTTGGCTACCCCTTCAGTCCCACAGCAGTTTTTATGAGGGTGAGCTGGAAGAGCATTTGGTCCCCCTCATGACGTCCATCTGAGGGCTCAAATGTGCTTGCTGAACAGAGGGATCTGTTTCACTCCAGAGGGTGTTTACCAGGTAAGGACGCGATGTCATTCACGTGATTCTGCAGCATTGTGAACTCAATGGGAGCCTCAGGAACTGGAGAGATCTTGCCAGACATGTAAGAGTTCATTTATTCCTTAAGTCTAGGGTATTTATTAAGCGACTTCTGTGTACCAGTCAATGCTTTCACTTATTCTGTTAACACCGTTAAGGGTTGTTCCTTGAAGGAGCTGGCTGATGGGGCTGAGAAGAAGGCCAGTTTGGGACTAAAGCTTGGGGCTGCATGTGGATGAATGGAAGCGGATTCCACCATGCTAAGTAGTTGCTTGGTAGGAGTTTGGGATCAGGGTTTCACCAAAGCGCCCTCTCTCTGTTTCTTCAGATGGAGGTGATTGTTGGCGACTTTGGGATTGTGGTGGTGCCCCGGGATGCAGCCGACACAGACCGAATCATGAATCACTCCTCAATACTCCGCAAATACAAAGTGAGTCCTCCATCCTGCTAGTGCATCTGTAATATGGCCCTTGTGTGAGAGTCCCGGCAGCTGGAGGAGTGAGAGAGCAAAAGGAGTTTAGTGGGAGGGACTGGCAACTGACTCTCTCTGCTCTGTCCTCAGAACAACATCATGGTGGTGAAGGATGACATCAACCATCCCATGTCTGTTGTCAGCTCAACCAAGAGCAGGTATGTTTGACAAATGGCCGGAGAGACTTTAGTCAAACTGTCTTATAAGTCTCCGCATAACTTTCCTCCATCAGAGATGACCCTAAGATTCAGGCAGACATCTGCTGCCCTGGTGTTTAGCTTTCTGTTTGGACCTCATTTGTTCCCAGCCATTTTACCTTTTTTTGTTTTTGTTTTTGTTTTTTGTTTTTTGTTTTTTTTTTTGAGACAGAGTCTCACTCTTGTTGCCCAGGCTGGAGTTCAGTGGTGCAGTCTTGACTCACTGCAACCCCTGCCTCCCAGGTTCAAGCAATTCTCCTACCTCTGCCTCCCAAGGAGCTGGGATTACAGGCACATGCTACCACGCCCGGCTAATTTTTGTATTTTTAGTAGAGATGGGGATTTCACCATGTTGGCCAGGCTGGTCTTGAACTCCTGACCTCAAGTGATCCGCCCACCTCAGCCTCCCAAAGTGCTGGGAATACAGGCGGGAGCCACTGTGCCTGGCCCCAGCCATTTACTTTTAAAAGGGGGGACAGTCCATTAGCTAGTCTTAGCTGCTTTAAGGCGAGAAGAGGGTGTTTTCAGTTGTGGACTCTTTAGTTGGAGGCACTTACAGAATAATGTTTGACAAGGGTACAGGCTAAGCTGCCAAAACAAACAAACAAAAAATCCGGTATTCAGAGTTTTAAATGTTAGATGTTTAGTTCCCTCTTACTGAAGTCAAAGATGGAATCTACGGCCTCATCCATATAAAACTTCCATCTCTGGGTGCACAGCTGCTACAATGGTGACTCTTCTCAGCCAGTGGGAAAAGGCAAGGTGAAGCCCATGGCAAGAAGCTTTGTCTTTAAGGTGACCCAGAGTTGTGCATACCACTTCCCTTTGCATCACACTGACTCAGGGGTGGAGGACAGCTGGGAAATAGACTGTGTAGCTAGGCAGCCACACGCCCAGATAAAACTCAGTATGCTTTATTACTAACTCAAAGAAGGAAAGAATGGGTGTTAGGGGCCAGTTACCAGTTTCTACCATAAACCCAAAGTGGAAATGTTAAGTGGGATGGTGGAATATACAGAATATAGAGGCTTAGAAGTGTAAAACTGAAAGCCATGAACATGTAAGTGTCAATTAAAATTCTAGGTGTGGACAAGCTCACAGAAAGAGTCAAGAAGAGAAGACTATGGGGAACATTGCAAACATTTTAGCATTTGATAAAAAGTTAAAAGGCAATTAGAAATCACCAGCAGTGGTGGCCCAGAAGCCAAGGTGAGAGAGGATACAAAGATGGAGAGCATTGCCGTCTGCGTCCCATCTTTCAGAGAAATCAAATGAGACCAGGACTTTAAAAAGTAATTGCCTTCTTCCCTGGAAGGCAATTACAGAGGCACTCACAAGGGTAGCATCCACTGTGAGGTGAGGGCAGAAGCAATGGGCAGTAAGGGGAGAGGAGTAGGATGTGGTTCCAAACATGGCTGCACATTAGAGTCGCCATGCAGAGTTATACAACAGTACAAATTCCTGTGTCCCGCCCAGTCCCACTGAATCAGAATTTTTGGGGGGTGGGCTTAGGAATCTGCTTCTGAGTCACAGGTATACACACTTTTTCAAAAAGCTTAACTATGTGAGGAGGCACTTAGGGACCTAACTTGCAAGGTCAGGGTGTAACCACCCAAGGGGTTCACCTTGCTCGCTGCCTAGACAGAGCAGATTCATCAAGACAGGGGAATTGCAATAGAGAAAGAGTAATACACGCAGAGCCGGCTGTGAGGCAGACCAGAGTTTTATTGTTACTCAAATCAGTCTCCCTGAGCATTTGGGGAGCAGAGTTTCTAAGGATAACGCCGTGGGTGGGGGAAGCCAGTGAGCCAGGAGTACTGACTGGTCGGAGATGAAATCATAGGGAGTCGAAGCTGTCTTCGTGCACTGAGTCAGTTCCTGGGTGGGAGCGGGGCGCAAGTTCAAATGAGCCAGTTTATTGATCTGGGTGGTGCCAGCTGGTCCATCAAGTGCAGGGTCTACAAAATATCGCAAGCACTGATCTTAGGAGCAGTTTAGGGAGGGTCATATCTTGTAGCCTTCAGCTGCATGACTCCTAAACCATAATTTCTAATCTTGTGGCTAATGTTAGTCCTACAAAGGCAATGTAGTCCCCAGGCAAGAAGGAGGTCTGTTTTGGGAAAGGGCTGTTATCATCTTTTTTTAAACTATAAACTAAGTTTCTCCCCAACTATAAACTATGAACTAAGTTTCTCCTGAAGTTAGTTCAGCCTACACCGGGAACAAGGACAACTTGGAGGTTAGAAGCAAGATGGAGTCAGTTAAGTTAGATCTCTTTCACTGTCTCAGTCATAAGTTTGCAAAGGTGGTTTCAAGGGCTGTGCATGCATTGAAAGGCAGTGAGCTGGTCTCCAGTGAGATCTCACAGGCAGGGCTCAGATGCCTTTTAGAATCTAGGTATGTGGAGGAATATTTGAATTTTTACAAATAATTCGTTTGGGTCTGACACCTAGACTATTGTGTTAGGAGAGAACAGGAAGCAGCCAGACCAAGGCTGGAAAAAAACTGTGCAGAAGCCAAAATGTGTCACTGGAGTCCTTTATACCTGCTGGTGCCTCTCCTCCATGGGCTCCTGTAGGAAAAAAAGATGTAGTGAATCCCAAGAATCCCTGGAAGAGGATTCATACTCTTGAGGCCAGCATGCAGAGGAACCCAAAAGGATAAAATAAGGATAGTTTTAAGAGGAAAGCTTCTAACAATAAATGCTCACATTAAAACAGAAGAAAGACCCCAAATAAATTTCCTAGCATTATGCCTCAAGGAACTAGAAAAAGAAGAAAAAACTAAACCCAAAGGAAGGAAATAATAAAGATTAGAGCAAAACTAAATAGAGAATAGAAAAACCATAGAAAAAATTAATAAAATGAAGAGTTGGTTTTTTGAAAAAAATTAACAAAATTGACAAACCTTTATCTAGACTGAAAAAGACTCAAATGTATAAAACCAGAAATGAAGGTGTAGACATTATAACAAATGTTTCAGAAATAAGATGGATCATAAAGAATTATTATGAACAATTATACGCAAACAAATTTGGTAACCTAGAGGACGTGGAAAAATTCCTTTAAAAAGATAATCTGGCAAGATTGAATCAGGAATAGCCTGAACAAACCAATAACAAATAGATTGAAATAGTAATTAAAAACCTCCCAACAAAGAAAAGCCAGGACCAGATGACTTCAGAGCTGAATTCTACCAAATTTTCAAAGAATAATTAATACCAGTACTTCTGTTTTTGTTTTGTTTTGTTTTGTTTTTTTCCTTTTCTTTTTGAGACAGAGTCTTACTCTGTCATCCAGGTTGGAGTGCAGTAGCGTGATCTTGGCTCACTGCAACTTCTGCATACCGAGTTCAAGTGATTCTTCTACCTCAGCTTCCCAAGTAGCTGGGACTACAGGTGCCTGCCACCATGCCCAGCTAATTTTTGTATTTTTGTTAGAGACAGGGTTTCACTATGTTGGCCAGGCTGGTCTTGAACTCTTGACCTTGTGATCCACCCACCTCGGCCTCCCAAAGTACTGGGATTACAGGCATGAACCACTGCACCCCGGCCTATACATTTTAAACTCTTCAAAGAAATACAGCTGGAAGGAATACCTCCTAGCACATTCTATGAGGCCAGCATCGCCTTGATACCTAAGCCAGATGAAGATACCACAAGAGGCCAGGCACAGTGGCTCACACCTGTAATCCTAGCACTTTGGGAGGCCAAGACTGGTGGATCACTTGAGGTCAGGAGTTCAAGACGAGCCTGGCCAGTATGGTGAAACCCTATCTCTACTAAAAACACAAAAATTATCCAGGCATGTGACTGTAATCCCAGCTACCTGGGAGGCTGAGGCAGGAGAATTGCTTGAACCCAGAAGGCGGAGGTTGCAGTGAACTGAGATCATGTGCCACTGTACTCCAGCCTGGGCAACAGAGCAAGACTCTGTATAAAAAAAAAAAAGACACCGCAAGAAAAGAAAACTGTAGGCCAACATTTCTGATGAACATTGATGCAAAAGTCCTCAATAAAATATTAGCAAATTGAATTCAACAACACAACATGATGTTTATACATGATGATCAAGTAGGATTTATCCCTGGCACACAAGACTGGTTTAACATATGCAAATCAGTCAATGTGATACATCACATAAATAGACTGAAAGATAAAAACCACATGACCATAGCAGTTGATGCAGATGAAGCACTGGACAAAGTTCAACATCCTTTCTTGATAAAGATTCTTAACAGTTTAAATATAGAAGGAAAGTTCTTCAACATAATAAAGGCCATTTTTATTTATTTACTTATTTTATTTTTATTTTTATTTTTTGAGATGGAGTCTCATTCTTTTGCCCGGGCTGGAGTGCAGTGGCATGGTCTCAGTTCACTGCAACCTCTGCCTCCCAGGTTCACACGATTCTCCTGCCTCAGCCTCCTGAATAGCTGGAATTACAGGCGCATACCACCACGCCCGGCTAATTTTTTGTGTATTTTTAGTAGAGACAGGATTTCACTATGTTGGCCAGATGGTCTCGATCTCCTCACCTTGTGATCCGCCTGCCTCAGCCTCCCAAAGTGCTGGGATTACAGAGCCACCGCACCCAGCAAGGCCATTTATTTATTTATTTATTTTTAAACCCATAGCTAGCATTATAATCAATGGGGATAAAATGAAAGCTTTTCCTCTAAGATCTGGTATAAAGCAAGAATGCCCACTATCCCCACTTCCATTCAGCATAGTACTGAAAGTACTATCAAGAGCAGTTAGACAACCAGGTGTGGTGGCTCACACCTGTAATCCCAGCAGTTTGGGTGGCCAAGGCATGTGGATCACTTGAGGTCAGGAGTTAGAGACCTGCCTGGCCAACATGGTAAAATCCCGACTCTAATAAAAATACAAAAATTAGCTGGGCGTGGTGGCATGTGCCTGTAATCCCAGCTACTCAGGAGGCTGAGGCAGGAGAATCACCTGAACCCAGGAGGCTGAGGTTGCAGTGAACCAAGATCACACCATTGCAGTCCAGCCTGGGTGACAGAGTGAGACTCTGTCTGGGGGAAAAAAAAGAAAGAAAGAAAGAAAGAGAAACCCTTAGGAATAAATTTAACCAAGGAAGTGAAAAATCTGTACATAGAGGAGTATAAAACATGGACAAAAGAAATTGAAGATGACACAAATAAATGAAATAAATGAAAAGCATTTCATGCTCATGGATCAGAAAAGTTAATATTGTTAAAATGTCCATGCTACCTAAAGCAGTATAAAGATTTAATGAAATCCCTATCGAAATCTCTATCAAAATCCCAGTAGGGGCATTCATACTTCACAGAAATAGAAAAATCAACCCTAAAATTTGCTCAGAACTGCAAAAGACCCTGAATAGTCAAAGCAATTACGAGAACAAAAAAAGTTGGAGGTATCACACTTCTTCATTTAAAATGATATTACAAAGTTATAGTAATCAAAATAGTATGGTACTGGCATAAAAGCAGACACATAGAGCAGTGGAACAGAATAGTGAGCCCAGAAATAAATTCAAACATATATGGTCAACTGATTTTTGACAAAGGTACCAAAAAGGCACAATAAAGAGAGGATAGTCTCTTCAATAGATGGTGCCAAGAAAACTTTCTATATGCAGAATAATGAAATTGGACCTTATCTTACACCAGCCACAAAAATCAGCTCAAAATAAAGGACCTAAGCATAAGACCTGAGGGGAAAACAAAAAAAAAACAAAAAAAAAAAAACAGAAGAAACCATAGGGGAAAATCTCCTTGACATTGGTCTTGGCAATTATGTCTTGGATGCCACAGGCTACAAAAGCAAGTAAATAAATAAATAAATAAGACTTCAAACTAAAAAGCTTCTGTACGGCAAAGGAAACAATCAAATATTTTCAAATCATATATCAGATAGGGATTAATATCCAAGATTTATAAGGAACTTACACAACTCAAAATAGCAAGAAAACATATTACTCAACTAAAAACTGGGCAAAGGGGCAAGGTGTGATGGCTCATACCTATAATCCCAGCACACTGGGAGGCTGAGGTAGAAAGATTGCTTGAGGCCAGGAGTTCCAGACATAGTGAGACCCTGTCTCTATCCTTACCTGTTCCCACCAAAAAAAAAAAAAAAAAAAATTAGCCAGGCATGGTAGCATGTGCCTGAAGTCCTAGCTGCTTGAGAGGCTGAAGCAGGAGGATTGCTTGAGCCCAGGAGTTTGAGGCTCCAGTGAGACATGACTGCACTACTGCACTCCAGCCTGGGCAACAGAGTGAGACCCTGTCTCTCTCAAAACAAACAAACAAAAAAACCACCAGAGGATTTGAGTAGGCATCTCTCCAGAGATGACATAAAAATTGCTAACAGGTGCATAAAAAGATGCTCAACATCACTAATCACCAGGGAAATACAAATTAAAGGCACTATGAGATTCTACGTCACACCTATTAGAATAGCTATTATCAAAAAGACAAGAGATAACAAATGTTGATGAGGATGTGGAGAAAGGGAACCTTTGTAAACTGTTGGTGGGAATGTAGATTGGTACAACCATTATAGAAAACAGTATAGAGGTTCCTAAAGAGATTAAAAATGGAACTGCCATATGACCTAGCAATCCCTCTTCTGGGTATACACCCAAAGGAAATGAAATCACCACCTTGTAAAGATACCTGCATTTCCAAGTTTATTGTGGCATTATTCACAGTAGCCAAGATGTGGAAACAACCTAGATGTCCATCAATGGATGAATAAAGAAAACGTGTTCACACACACACACACATACGGAAGTGGAATATTATTCGACTTAAAAAAGGAGCTCCTACCACTTGCCGCAACTTGGCTAGACCTGGAAAACATTCTGCCAAGTGATATCAGCCAGACACAGGAAGAAAAATATTGCATGATTTCACTTATATGTGGAATCTTAAATATACAGGTAGAGAATAAAACAATGATTACCAGGGTCAAGTGTGGAGGGCAGAAAGTTGAGAGATACAGGTCAAAGGATACAAAGTAGCAAATATGTAGGAGTATATGTGGAATCTTAAACATACAGATAGAGAATAAAACATGATTACCAGGGTCAAGTGTGGAGGGCAGAAAGTGGGGAGATATTGATCAAAGGATACAAGGTAGCAAATATGTAAGACAAACAAGTTGAAAGATCTAATGGGTGACATGAGGATGACAGCTATAATAGTGTATTATATTTAGGATTTTTGCTAAATTAGTAGATTATAGCTATTCTCGCCACAAGAACAAATATGTATCTGAGTGAGATGATGGATATATTAATATTGTTCCACTGTAGTAACCATTAAACTATATTATATAAATAATATAATATTAACACTGTTATGTAAATAATATAATATGAACACTATTATATAAATAATATAGTATAATATAAAAATTATAAAATATATATAATAAATATGTAATATAACATAGATAGTATATTATACTATATTATATGATGATAATATGTGTGTATCTTACAACATCAGATTGTATGACTTAAATATACACAATACAATTTATTTGAGAAAAAAGAATAGTGAATACATTAGATGCCCGCTGTGTGTCTGGTGCTCTTCTAAGTGCTTTGCATAATGACTCATTTAATCCTTTGAATAACTAAATGAGAGGGGCCCAGATATTACCCTCATTTTAGAGGAAAAAAGCTGAAGAACAGAAGGGCTTAAATAACTTTCCCAAGGCCTCTCGCCTCGGAAGTGGCAGAACCACAATGAATGATGTCACCAAGGTGGGGAAGGAGTTGTGGAGGCAAGAGAGCTTTTCCTAATACAGAACCATTTACTCAACCTGAGAAAAGGCTAGAAATGGGGTGTTGGGGAGACATGGGGCATGTCAGTCCTCCTGGCTTGCTTTGGGTGTGGACGTCCATCTGATTGTCATCTCTTCTTGTGCAGGCTGGCCCTCCAGCATGGGGACGGCCATGTTGTGGATTACCTGTCCCAGCCGGTCATCGACTACATCCTTAAAAGCCAGCTGTACATCAATGCCTCCGGCTAGCAGCTACACAGCGCTCGGCTCCACTCTCCCCTCGTCCTCCAGCAACACAATGGCCCCTCCATCTTTGTCAGCCCCCTGTTTCTCTCCTGCCTCTCTGTTTTTCAATCTCCTCGTCTTGACTGTTTTCCCTACTTGCTGACTTAACCCCCCATAGTGTGGGGGACCTGCAGAGAACCATGGCATTCCCTATTCCACAGTCATCTTTGGACAGACTTTCCTCTAGTCTCCGGGTTGGGGGTGGGTGAGGGAATGGGGTGGGAGTCGGGGGAAGTGCAGTCCTTGGAGATGTACTGGTGTCCGTCTCCCAGCACGCTCTAGAGAGGTGGCTCTGGTGCCCATCCTCCCAGCATGCTCTGGGGAGGCGGCTCTGGTGCCCCTCCTCCCAGCATGCTCTAGAGAGGTGGCTCTGGTGCCTCTCCTCCCAGCATGTTCTGGGGAGGCAGCTCTGGCTCTTGCCTTCCCAGCATGCCCTTTACTACAAAGGGCTGTTTTTCTTTTCTTTCTTTTGTTTATTTATTTTTCTTTGTTCACTCCCTGTAGAACTTGGATGAAATCAGTGTCCATGGTTCTTTATGTTTGTAGTCTTGATGTGCTCCTGTGGTATTACTTCCCCTCTGATAGGACACTGTAGCCAGCCTCAGCACTCAGTGAGTGCATCAGGGCCACACCCAGTAGAGAAGGCCAAGCAACCTCCACTTCTCCAGCACCACACACATGCACACACACACACACACACACGCGTGCGCACTTGCGTATGCACATCCACACACACATTTAGCAGTAGCAGCAGCAGCAGCAACCTTTGATCAGGAGTGAGATTTTCAGCTTCTGAAACCTGGGACGCAAGTCTGGGGATAGTCGGTTTTCTCAGAATAATTTGAATCTGTTTTCTTAGTTTCAAATGATCATTTCCCTGTTGCTCTGAGCTTATGATCACACAGAGCCAGTCCATTCTCATTTCCTGGTGGCATCTGTTCATTTACTTATGTGGGCTGTAGCTGATGGCACAGTGCAGGTTCCCTACCAGCCAGGGATTTCCAAGGGACCTTTGGAGGCCATGCTTAGACACATTCCTGCATCTGAGAAGAATCACATAAGCAGGACTAGATCCAGATCAGGCAGTCGTGTCTTTAAAAAAGCAAAACTATACAAAACAACACTAGAAGTCCACTCAGTCCTGGAGGTCTTTGCTAATTGGAATTATGTATTTTCTGTTGGGCCGGGAAATGTCTCTTTCATATTGTAAGTCCAGGATGAACTAGGAGAAAGCAATTTGTTGCCCTGATGATAACTGATTATTTTCACCCTCTCTAGCTGACGTAACTCAGACAGTGCCTGAGGTCAGTTCCTTCTTGAGAAGCAGTGCCTTGGCCTTGTTTCTGTGGTTGGTTCTAGCCCCTGCAGAGCCCGGAAGCTGCAGGAACTGTCTGAGAAAATCTCCCTAACAGGGGAGGGGGTTCCCAGAAGGAAGATCTGGGAGGGGTCAGGAGCCACTAAGTTGTTTCACTCCTTTTTTCTCTAATTTTCTACTTTCCTCTCTGCTCGTGCAGACAGTGTTGCCAGCTTTCCTTCTGGTTACTAGGGTCTCATGCATGTCCTGCTTGGAGAGCCATAAGGAAACTGCTCTCTTGTGCTTTTTGTCTCTCATCCAGTCTCTGGCTCTTGGGATTCTGGTCTTTGAGAAATAGTCCCTGAGTATTAGGATACTTCTATCAAAATCTAGTACCAACTATGGCCAGGAGGGGCCATGTGGGACCTGAAAGCAAAGACAATGTTTTTTACCACACATTTCACATCTGCAACATCCTTCGGTTGTGGTAAAAGGAACAGAAGAACATGGTAGAGCAGCATCCAGAGAGTCTGTTATTCCTCTTGGATTTTTAAAAATAATCTTCAGAGGAAGGAAGAAAAATCCTGTTTTTGAGTAGCAGTGTTTGACTAGGGATCATGAAGTAATAAACTGAAAAACACTTTAGAGTTCAGTTGATCCAACACTTTCCTTTAAAAGGTGAGGGAGCAGAGGCCCATGGGATTAAATGGCTGGTCCAGGTCAGCCAGCAGGTGTAAAGCCCGACAAGAAGACATTGTTTCCCTGACCCCTAGGCCGTCACACCACACCCTCCATTTCCTCATGTTGCTGACCAGGTACCCATGTGATTTCTACACTTCCCAAGCCTTACCCTGGCATATTTCTTTAAAATTATGTCTGTCCCAGGTGCTCCCCACACAGAGGATGGTAACACCAGTCCCAGGGTAGGGTGTGATAGTAAGGAAGGCCACTGTTAGGTTTCCTTTAGAAAGAGATCTCAATAACTTGGAAGAAATCCCAGAAACGGACTCCATGAATCTAAGAAAGAATTGCTTTGGGGAAGGTGAAGGGAGACCCAGAGAGTGCTCAGGATGATGCTACTGCTGGAGAGCGAAATCTGGAACAGCCTTTGTCCAGGCAGGACAGTCATAAGTCAGGAAATGAAACAAAGGAAAACAGGTGCCTGAATTTCCTGGGAAACATGGCTTGTTTAAGGACTTGGAGTTATGGATAGACTTTATGGGACCTCCATGAGCAGACCTGAGGAAGACTCGATTTCTTTTTCTTTGGTCCCCTCTGTTACTCTGCTGTGGTCAAGCCCCATTTGGTCTACAGCCCACGAGAAGGAATGAAGCTGGCTCTGCACTCTCTGCATACAGGCAGAAGGCATGTGGGAGTGGGGAGGGAAAGTGAGATGAATGAAGACAAAGAACAGGTGCCACAGAAGTAGATTTCTAGGAATGAAGTGGGGCAGATCTTATCTTTGTGGATTACAGGTGCTGTACTAAAAACAGGTTTCCTATTTAATATAAAAAGAAAGTGAATCTTCTTTTGGATAGAATCGTCCATTCCCATCGCCACCCTGCCCCCCCTCCCCAACACACACACACACACACACACACACACATATACACCCCCTTTCATTTGCTAGGGAAAGGTCACAGCACAACTGAATCCAGGACAGGACATTGTGACCATGACCCAGCCACAGCCAATACCAGAAAGATGATTCAGAATCTGAAGTGGTGCCCCAGGTGCCAACAGGATAACCTCTGGGCCCCGACTTTGCCTCTGGGGTCCTGCTCCTTCCTGCAAGGCCAATCCAAGACTGGCATGGCTCAGAGGTTGTGAGAAAGGCATGGACTGGAACAATCATGTCCAGAGGGGTCTGGAGCTTTGTTTCCTGCCCACCAGCAAAAAAATATCCCTCCCATTTTTCTGAAAGTGGCTGATGTAAGAACAGGCAGAAGGAATTTTTGTCAATAACTCTGTCCTTAAGGAATGGTCCTCCGGGAGGGCTGTGCTGCTAGTGGGTACCTCAGTCACACACCCCCAACCCCAGGTAGCCTCTAGAGCCTTCTTGCTTTCATTTTCCTTGAATGTACATAGGAACAAGGGGGAAAAGTCTCTTACTGAAGTGCCTGAAACCCAAAGCTAGAGCTTCTAGAGACACCGTTCTTCCTGTCTCAGCTTGGCCAACCTTTCAACAACGTTCTCTAGTTTCAAGCTCCAGCTTCTCAGAAAGAATTAAAGAACTTGCTGTTCAAATTAAATAGAAAGTGAGACTCAATAATTGAACTACAGCAAAAGGCAGAGAATTACAGGGAGAAACAACTTTTACTTAACAACCCAATTCTACTCTCCCCAAACTGATACACACACACACACACACACACACACACACACACACACACTCTTTTAGAGGACTAAGAGAGAGGAGCATGTTATTACATTTTACTCATCCAAACAGTAATGCAAAAATAAAACAGAAGAATATGAAAAGCTCAGGATCTCTCCCAAGGCTACCTACTGCAGGAGGGCCAACAGGTGAGATGGGAAGAATGGAAACAGGGACCGATTTTGTAGCTCATACAATTAGGACACCTTAGGAATAGCATTGTAGTAATGGCGATGAATATGCTCTGCCAAATTCATCCAGTTTGCACCATCTTATAGCTGCCCAGCACACTCGACTGTTCATGTGGTCTCTTTGTAGTGTGAGTTTGGAGTGTCCTATTAGCCTGTTCTGGTTAGGAATGAGTAACGGCTCTTTCCCTCGACCTTAGTCTAGTCCCAGGGCTGAGGATTCAGCTGGATCCACATGGTCTTGAGGGTTGGCATGGGGAGGGGGAAGCTTTTTTTGAATCACTTTTTGATCACATAATCTGCCATTTTAAGAGTAAGATTTGCTTTATGAAATCAATTCATTAATAAAAAATGATATTCAAGTTGCAATACCATTTCACAGTGAAATATTTTGAGTACGATTTTGTTGCTAGAATAGTCATGGGCAAGAGTTTTATGCAAAATGTTTCAATTATGTTAATAAATAAGACAATGCTACAAGAGTCTTGTGTCTTGCTCAAGAACCTTCTCTGTGAGTTGCAGCATTAATCACTTTTTCTTCATAATCTTACTTGACAGGAGACAACAGTTGTAAAAATGTACTTAGAACAAGCAGTTTCCTGCCTGGTTCAGCTGATGCCACATGTGTAATATAAAAGTATGTACAGCCACATCCAAGGATGATAAAGGGAAGAATAATTAGCAAATTTGTAAATTGTGTCTCCATTTTTTCAGTTTTAAAACATTAAATATTAGATCTTGATAATCTGCATAGTCCAGTGTTGGTTAACTTTGGCTCCTCAATGAAATTAGTACTTTATGAAATAAAATTATATTTGTGAAAATGAAAAATTTGAACAACTTTTTAGCCTGAAAGATCTTAACTAAAACAGAACTTGTTAAACTCGCAATATGTTTTGGCAAAGTAAACAAGCAAAAGTGAATAATTTGTTAATTGTTCAATCCTGCTGTGATTATCAGTTCTTATTTCACCTTAAGTCATGTCACACACCCTGTATTGTGTTAGGTGTGAATGGTGATTGCCATTAGCTAATTATCAGATATGATTCAGAAGGTGAAACAGTAATTCCCTGTTAGGCTAGTTCATTGAAGGGTTAGCCATTTGTTTATCAGATTAATTTTTTAAATGAATCATTTGGTTCTTGGGGTTCTTAGTATTTTTTTCTTTTATCTTTTATTTTTGGCTTAAAATTGAGATGTGGCAGCTTTGTATGCATCTGTGTGGGTTTCATGGCACATCATAATGATGCTTGATATGTTTGTACATTGATCACTTGTGTTAACATTTGCTATTTTGTTTCCAAAGCTAAACATTGCCTTTTTTTTTCCTTGTCCTGAGAGTACATGATGATGAAAGCTCATTTATTTGCTTTGGGTTTTGTTTTTGTTTTGTTTTGTTTTGTTTTGAAACAGAGTTTCGCTCTTGTCACCCATGCTGGAGTGCAATGGGGCAATCTCAGTTCACTGCAACATCAGCCTCCTGGGTTCAAGTGAGTCTCCTGCCTCAGTCTCTAGAGTGACTGGGATTACAGGTGCCTGCCACCACACCAAGCTAATTTTTCTATTTTTAGTGGAGACAGAATTTTGCCATGTTGGCCAGGCTGGTCTCAAACTCCTGACCTCAGGTGATCCATCTGCCTTGGTCTCCCAAAGTGCTGGGATTATGGGCGTGAGCCACCGCGTTCAGCCAGGAGCTCATTTAAAGTGAAATATAAACACTGGTTTAATTTGCTAACTTATAAAATATATATACTAAATATGAATTAACATATGTGCACATACACATTTCTTCCCTTATGACCTATATGTAAGCTTTAGATCTTCGGATTTCCTAGAAAGTTCCGTGTAGCCAATAGTATGAAGAAAGGAGAGAAAAATTCTAACCTATGTTCTCCTGGTGGAAAATTGAACCACGGCAAGAATCCATAACCTTCCCATTGCCAAGCAAAACATTAAAAGAAGACACAATAAACATATTCCTGGTCCTTGAGACTTGTTCAAAACACTGAATATTACTAAGCATTTTCTTGTCCTTTTCTCCAGCCTGCCAAGAGGCTGAGAGAAGTACTGGAGAGTACTGAAAAGAAACCACATCCTCGGAGAAGACCAGAAATACATCTGCTAAGAAGTTACAGTCTATGGGCAGTTTCATGTCCATCCCTCTCTCCAAAGAGAGGTCCCTAAGAGTTAAAGTAGATGACGTGTGTAATAGCTTACCAACAGCATAATTAACCAGAAACTCTCAGAGGAGAAGTTCAAGAAAGCTTTCACTATGAACTACTAATACTGATGAAAAATCAGAAGGAAAGTTTCCTTATCTTGGCAGGGTCAGGTTAAGGACTGACAACAGGAGTCTAGGTGCTGGGGAAGCCACATCCCCTTCTCTCTTCTTATGGTTAACTTTTCAGGTCCTTAGAAATGGGAGAATTATTTGTACACTAAGGGAAGCCCCATAAGTCATTTTTCTATTCCCCATCTCTACTCAGGTATCATCTCCCATTTGTCAGGGAAGACAGTCAGACAGTTTTACAACTTTTTTTTTTTGAGACGGAGTCTCGCTCTGTCACCCAGGCTTGAGTGCAATGGCACAATCTCGGCTCACTGTAAGCTCTGCCTCCCAGGTTCACGCCATTCTGCTGACTCAGCCTCCCAAGTAGCTGGGACTACAAGTGCCCGCCACCACATCTGGCTAATTTTTTGTATTTTTGGTAGAGACGGGATTTCACTGTGTTAGCCAGGATGGTCTCAATCTCGATGTCGTGATCTGCCTGCCTCGGCCTCCAAAAGTGCTGGAATTACAGGCGTGAGCCACCGCGCCCAGCCTCTTACGACTTTTAAAACAATCTATTCCATTGAGGAATCCTTATATGATTACACGTACCATGGTTATTAACTAATGGGATCCCTCACCAAGTTTCCTACAACACATACTGTCTAATCTTACACTTGGAAGAGATAGCCAATCACCGACAATGCATTTTCTCCTTTCATAATGTAGAATTGTCACTGAGAAGTGGCTTCCAACAAAGGACTACATCTTCCAGACCCCTTTGCAGGGTAGATGTGATTGTTTTCATGGGTTTTGGACCATGGCATGTGAGGCCCTCCTAAGCTTGGCCTTCCTGTGTCTCCTTACTCCATGTTCTTTTCCCTTTCCATCAGCTGGTGACAACCTGCTGGAATGGCCATAACCCTCCATCCCCTAGGCAACCTCAGAAGTCACATGTTGTAAATGGCAGGGCCTCTGAAATGACTGTGGAGTCTGGGCACTGGTTGTTTATTATAGCAAGAGATCTGTAGAATGTGTAATTGGGTATGCCAAGACAGGATTACAAATTCATTTTCACAGAAGGTAAAGCAAAGTGACCAGACCTATCAGAATTTGGGGGTCAATGGACACAAGCAGGATTCTTTCCTCAGTTGCTTGTGTAGATGGCCAATTCATGATCTTAATTTAGTACATTTTAACTTCTTTAAAAGCATGACATATGCACCACAACCTGCATTTTATAGCTGATGAAAAAGATAAGAATATTAAATATACCACCCCCCTCCACCCAGCTTGAGTTGTTCTAGAAATAAAGCTTTATGCTTAGGAGACAGCATCAATTAAACCTCATAAAAATCTCATTGACAGCATCATCAATCCCTTATGGTTGGAAAGAGCAAAGTAAGATGCTTAGAAGTGGGAACTGAAGATGCCAACTCTAGGACCTATTGCCATTTCTGTGGCATTTTCATTTCCATTGCTTTGGTACCATGATAGGCTTAGAGTTTAGTAAATCAGAAACTGACCCCAGGCATCTAGCAATTGTTCTTTATTGAAAAACACTTTCAGGAAAATCCAAGGAAATACAGAAGCAAGGCAGCACCATAGTCTTCCCAGCCAAGGTGGAAGTGCCTCTGGTTTCTCCAGCAATTCCCATTGGAGTTATCATGACTCAAAAGTCTGTTGCAATCAGTTGTAGAAAGGCGCAGAGTGGCAGTTGGAATGCAAAGAAATGTGCACAACCCAGAGCTCTCTCAGCTTTGCCAAAACTCAAGTGTCCCCATGGGAGGGTCTTGCAACATATGTTCTGTTGAGCAAAGAGGTTGCAAACCAAGCAGTTATTGCAATAAACACCACTTGTGACAAACAAGGTTTGTAAGTTTCAATTTATTTTTTAAAAACGTTTGTCTTCCTCACTAGACAATCAACTCTATGAGGGCAGAGACTATGTCAACACTGTACCACCAGCCCCTGGCACACAGTAGGTACTCAATAAATATAAGTTGGAAGGATGGATGGAGGTAATGGATGGAAGGATGGATGGAAGGATGAATGGAGGGATGGACGTGACCCAGTCAAAGTGTGATTAGGAACATTCTCTTGTTAAGGGTGGAGGAAAGAGAGGGGAGATTGAGAAAATAAGATAAAATACATTGATGCTTATCATTTTTGGTGTTTGAAAAGTAGGATTGAATTGGGACTAAGAAATCTAGAGAATTTTACCTCTTTCAATGCCCAAGCCACACTTTTCTATCACTTTTAAACTGAAAACATAAATGCCTTTCTAACATTTGCTTTGCTGGTAGGAAACGCTTTAATAATCTCCAAGTTGCCATGGCATCGTTAAAAGAAAGGATGTCATGCCCGGGTCCAGAACTTAAAGGTGGCAGGCACCAGCAAGCACTATTGCTCCAAATGGGCCTGCCTTACAGGTCCTCACTCCAACACTGCTCACTTCCTCCAGCTTGAAAGTGGAGAACATGTTCACATGCTGGGTGGTAAGTAGGAGGAACTCTGATCAGCAAGAAGCTTGCAGTGGACAATATGAGGCATTAGTATTTTACTGGCCACAGTGTGACTGGGTTGCACTCTTCTGACATTAGGAAGAATTTTATGCCTGGGCAAAGTCAAAGTTTTTTCCTTTAGTCACATTACTCAAAGAATAAGTTGACTGTAACCCAACAGCACTTGCCCAAATTCCAGGACTCTGTTTATGACTATTCTGAGGCAAACATCTGCCTGTGCAGTTTGTCCTTCTATCCAGTCTATTCTTTGGGGTCCAGATCCTTAGTCAATCTCACACCCAGTGCTATCTGCCTCATTGCCCACCATCAGGAAGCAAAGAGTATGGTGCAATAAGACAACAACCTGGCCACGGGATCAGGAATGGGGTCAGGTCAGTTGATGAGCATACTCATTAAACATGTTCAAATGTTCCCATCCCACCCACCCACATGACATGGTCCCGAGCCCTGAGATCTGTATCCCAAGAACCTCAGTTGAGAAATCTTTATGGCAGCTTCACTGTTGCTCAAGAACCGGGGTATTGTAGCAGCCTGGGGGCAGGTTGTCCCTAATGTTCTCTAAGTTCTTCACATCAGCCAGAATCCCATCTATGCTTGTCTCCAGCAAATGGAGGTGGCCCCGCTGCCGACGTGCCCTCTCTTCCAGCTCTGACATCATGGGCCGCAGTTGGCTGTTGATCTGGTTCTT